TGGGCAGGATGGAGGGAAGGAAGAAAAATGGGTGGGATGGATGGAAGGAAGGAAGGAGAAAATAGGGAGCAGTAGGAAGGAGGGAGGGAAGGAAGGAAGGAGAAAGAAAGAAGGGAGGGAGGGAGGAAAAGAAGTATAGTAGAATAACAGAGTTGGAAAGGGTCTTGGAGGTCATCTAGTCCAACCCCCCTGCTCCCTATACCATTTCAGACAAATGATTGTCCAATCCCTTCTTTGAAAAAACCCCAGTGGGGAAAGAAGGAAGGAAGGAAGGAAGGAAAAGAAGAGGAAGGGAGGAAGAAAAATAATATAGTAGAACGACAGAATAACAGAGTTGGAAGGGGCCTTGGAGATCTTCTAGTCTAGCCCCCCTAAACCAAGCAGGACACCCCGCCCCCATTTTAGACAGATTTTTAGACCCCAAACCTTTAAAAAAAACACACCCTTCTCGTTCCTACTTCGCTAACCCCCCCTGAATGTGGGGCAACCCCCCCCGCCCCACCCCTCCCCCGCTTTACCTGCTTGTTCGCGCGAGAGCTCATTTCCGCGCCCGGCAAGGTCAGGTTCCGTTTGGATCGGTGCAGGAAACGGGCCATCAGGCTGCGAGACCCCCGGCACACCTTGAGGTCCCCCAGGGAGCGGGTGATCGTCTTGGACAGGTGGTCGGGCACTTTCGACTGCAGCTCTAGCTTGGGTTTGCCGGGCACCGGAGCCAGCAAGAATGGGTCACCGAGACAGGTGTGCAAACACGGCCCTGAGAAGAGAGGCGGGGGCGGGGGGGGAAAGAGAATTTAAGTTGGGGGCGTGAGCACCAACTTACAACAGCCCGCCCTCCTCCCCAAACTGCTGCTTACAACCAAGTTAGGGCCCCTTGTAGCCCCCTGCAGTCCCGTGAACGCAATTTATGACGGTTTCGCCGGAAACCCACACACAATTTTTTTGGGGGGGGGAGCGGGAAAATCCCCGAATAACAAATAGCTGAACGACCGGTGTGAAAATTGGCGTTTACCAGCTGTCACGACTTAGGACTGTAATTTGTCGGGCTCCGTACACGGTCGTAAGTCAAGGATTCCTACAGGGAGTTCTCGAATTACGACAAGTCGAGCCCAAATTTTATGGTCGTGCCCCTGTTGGCGTCGGAATCCGAGGAGGAGGAGGAGGAAGATGAACAGCTGACCCAAGGAGTGGGAGTGGGGCTCCGTCGGCTGTGGAGGAAACTGGGGAAGGGCAAAGTCCGGATGGGCAGAGCAGGGGAGAGGTAGAACAAGGGAGAGGGAGTTCAGAGGAAGACCCAGGCCCACGCCCTCTTCATCCTAGGGCACGCAGGGAGGAAACGGAGAAGGGAGCAACATGAGTTGCCTGGCTTACGGGGGGAGGAAGGGGCCCTGATTCCCTTCATTAGCCACACCTGGGAATGAGAGTTTAAAAGAGATGCAAGCCGAGCGCGGCATCTTCTGGGAACAAATGTGAGTTTATCTTGTGTTGACTTTGTTTATCTGCGTTCCTGGCGTCTTCCCAACCATGTTGAGTTATTGCCGCGCCTTCACATCTGGAATTCCTTCTCCTGCCCTGCTGGACTCATTTACCTCATTTTGCCTTGTTTGTACTTTTAAGTTACAGTTTTTGTTGACCATGTTTTGGACTTGATTCTCTGCAGCCAAAGGCTGTTCCTGGGAGAGATTTTCTCCAGCCCAGAAGGTAACCAGGACATTGGGGGGAAAATTGGTGCTAATAAAGGGACTCTTATTGATTATCTGACCGTGTTGCCTTTGTGCCCTTTGGGTCATCCCATTTATGTTGCTAAGCGAAACATTCGTTCGGTGAATTTTGTCGTCCCGTTCCCCGTTTTAACCCCCCTTTCTTGCCGCCGTTGTTAAGCGAATCACTGCAGTTGGGAAGTCAGCCCCATGGTTGTTAAGGGAGTCTGTCTTCCCCCTTGGCTGCTCAGAAGGTCACACACACACACACACACCCTGGGATGCCGCAACTGGCATAACTACGAGTCAGGTATCCTAACATCTGAATTTTGATCAGGTCACCCGGGGGAGTGGGGGAGGGCTGTCGCAGCAACGGTCGTACGTGTGAAACGCGGTCAGGAATCTCGTTTCTCGGGGCCTCCATAACTTCCTTCACTAAGTGAACCCTCGTAAGTTGGGGATGGCCCCGGAAACCTTGGAGAGATGCCAAGGTGTCCACCCGCCCGCCTTCCCGCCGAGTTTCTAAGAACGAAAACCGTTGGACGGGCGAGACTTTCTTGAAGCCTGTGGTTTTTGCAACGGGGGTTTGTTGTTTTGGGGGGGGGGGTGTCAAATCAGGGTGACAACAATTCAGATGGTGCAACGGAGGGACGAAAAAACAATCGTTCTAGGGCAGGTGTGAAATGACCGCTGGGTGGCTCAGCCCTCACCTGTCTCCGCCGAACCGTTGGAAGCGTCGTCTCCAGATTCTTTTGTGCAAAATACTTCGTGGTCGTTGGTTTCTGTTGGGGAATGAAAAAGAAGAATGAAAAGAATGAAAAACGGAGGGTTCCGTGGCTCTCGGAAAAGAGAGAGAAGGTTGGATTTTTGGGGGTCCAGGTGGATGAATCTCAGGGGAGAGGAAGTGACTATCGCGTGGCTCCGTGGCTCTCGCTGCCTGTGTTCAATTCAGGAAAAAAAGCCACCCCCTTTTTGGGGGGGTGGCTTGCTGGAACGACGGGCCTCCAGACGTGGAAGAGAACCCTGAAGGTTTTTTTTTCCAAGAAGAGATTGGACAAGCATTTGTCTAGGGAGGGGGTTGGACTAGATGACCTCCGAGGACCCTTCCAACTCTGTTATTCTGCTATGTTTTTCTTTCCTCCCTTCCTCCCTCTCTTCTCCATCACTGGGGGTTTTCAAGAAGGGATCGGAAAACCATTTCTCTGTAGTGGGATATGGACTCCGACTTGATTAGGGGTTGGACTAGATGACCTCCAAGCTCCCTTCCAACTCTGTTATTCTGCTATTCGGTTTAGGGTTAGGGTTTTCTTTTCTTCTTATTCTTTTTTTCCTCCCCTTCCCCTTCCCCTTCTTTCTTCCTTCGCAGGGGGTTGGACTAGATGACCTCCAAGGTCCCTTCCAATTCTTTTGTTCTCTTATTCTTCCTTTCTTCTCTCCCGCCCTCCCTCCCTCCCTTCCCTCCTCCCTCCCTCTTTTCCTCTGCAGGGGGTTGGACTAGATGACCTCCAAGGTCCCTTTGCAACTCTTGTTATTCTGTTATCTTCTGCTATTCTTTTTTTTTCCTTGCTTCCCCTTCTCTTCCTTCACGGGAGGTTGGACTAGAAGACCTCCCGGGTCCCCTTCCACCCTCTTTATTACCCCGTTCTACTCACCTGCCTCCCTGGAGGCGGCCATCCCAGGGTCGCTGTGGGACCGCAGCAGCGGGCATCGGATCACGGGCGACTGGCAGGACGTTTCGCTGCTGCGTCGCTGCCGCCTGGGCCCTTTGCGCGCCGAGACCGCCGACTTGGGCTTCACTCGGACTTCGGGGAAACAGGGCCCCACGCCGCGGCCGAGGCCCTCCAGGCGGTGGCAGCTGTGGGTCTGGACGCTGCCCGCCTCCAGCAGGCCGTCGTACACCGTGCCCGGCGTGGAGCAGGAGTAGGAGCGCTCTCCCCGCAGGCGCGCCTGTGGGATGTCCTCAAAGGGGCCTTGCGGGTGAATCCCGCACTGTCCGCAGTCGACGCTCAGGCAGTAATCCGCCCGGCTGCGTTGGATCGAGCGGAAGAGGACGTAATCCACCGAGCAGGCCGAGCCGCTCCCTTCCAGCAGGCAGGAATCCTCCGACGGGCTGCTGTCCCCGGGAATGTCTACGATTTCTGACATGATGAGCGAGTTGCTGTCCATGGAGATCGCTGTTTGGGGAGGGGAAAAAAAACGAGGCCGCAAAAAATGAAGATCGACAAAAGATTTAGCAACGGGGGAATTTGGGGGGAGGAGAGCAGGCTTCATTGTAGTCCGTAAATCGAGGATTGTAGACGATCCCCCTTCCCCCCCATGGATCGCTGCTTTTCTGACCGTCCCTCCAGGGCAGAGGTGGTATTCAGCCGGTTCGAAGCGGTTCGGGAGAACTGGTAGCAAAGATTTTTGAGGCGTTCGGAGAACCGGCCAATACCATGTCAGGATTCCAACACTTAACCCCAATTAAACCATGAGTCTCGAGCCAAACTTCCAAAACTTCCAAAGGATTTATTGGGAGTTTACATGTCCGGCACTGCCTGGGTGTAGCCGACTCTGAGACACATCATTCACTGTCACCCTCGACCCTGGTTTTCCCTCCACCCGCTGGGCGTATCATAATTCCTATTCTCCAATGGGAAACCTCCATAGCTCAGAGTCATCCATCATGCTCTCCGGTTAGATCAGTCACCTAGTTACTATCTTTGAAAACATGGATGGAATGCACTTTCCATTTCCAAGCTGCCGCACTGCTCTTCCCCCTCCCTTTCTGTTGGCAGCTCTAAAAAGACCCTAGAAATATTTTAGGAGTTGATATACCCCCTCTGACTGGCCACCTCTTCTCTGCCTCCCATCGAGTCCCGGCTCTTTTGGTTGCCCTGCGCAGGAGAACAGAGCTGGAAAGCAGGTTAGTGGGGTGGGGTGGGAACGGGGATTTTGCAGTATCCTTCCCCTGCCACGCCCACTGAGCCACACCCACAGAACCGGTAGTAAAAAAAAAAATATGAATCTCACCACTGCCCGAGGGTTGTGTGGAAACTTTGAAAAGATTTCTGGGAATGGGGAATACATTGGTTTAATCCGTGCACTAAATGCAAATTTAGGTGTTTCTCTCTCTCTCTCTCTCTCTCTCTCTAATCCTCTCATTATGACCATCTTCTGCCCTTCCTTGGTCCTGCAAGGGACGTTGTGGAGGAACAGCTACCCCCAAAGGACTTTTTCCAGCTGGGCATTGAAACAATTGTGCATTTGTGTGTGTTTACCTTCACCGCTAAGAACAACGGAAGGGACTTGGTTGCAGGAACATGGGCCATGTGATGTTTCAGTAAACTGAGAGTCAAACAGCGTTACCTGCGGAGAAGAGGCAGAAGACATCCATTGTTTCACTTCAGGGACGACCGTGAAGTTTTCCAGATATATGCTACTGTCTTTTGGAAGGATGGAAGGAGGGAGGAAAAGGAAGGAAGGACGAGATAGGTTGGAGGAACGGAAGGGAGGGAGGACGGGAGGGAAGGAGGGAGGAAAAGGAAGGAAGGAAGGACGAGATAGGTTGGAGGAACGGAAGGGAGGAAGGACGGGAGGGAAGGAGGGAGGAAAAGGAAGGAAGGAAGAGACAGGTTGGAGGAAAGGAGGGAAGGAAGGAGGGGAGGGAAGGAGGAAGGAAAAGGAAGGAAGGACGAGATAGGTTGGAGGAAGCGCGCAAGTGAGGATAGTCAATGGATGACATTCCCCCGAAAATAAGGCCTGGTGCATTTTGGGGGGTTGAAGAGCAGAAAGAGGCTATCCAACCATACCTGGCTGTCCCCATGGAGCCCCATAACAGCCTCATAACTTGGGGGGAAGTCGGTGGGGTACAGGGGGACCGGGCTGTCCATGGAACCGTTGTAAGTAATGCTACGCAACCACGAGAAGGGAAAAAAAAAAACAGAAAAAGATATTCTCCCTTAAACGGACGGAATCAACAGCTCCCCCGGCCACAACAAGAAATTCAGAGTTCGATTTTACACCTTTCCCATTTGTGACATGCTAAGCCCTCGAGTTACATCCGGTCACTTAGCGACGGTTGTAACTCGAGTTTGTTCTATACCCTACAATCCATATCTTTTTTAGCAACCTCACCTCTGAGCATCCGTCTCGGAACTGCAGGTATATTCCGGGGGATAGTAAGGAGGGGGAGGAACTGGGGGTACAAACTCATCCAGATCCAACATGTGTTGTAAAAAAGTATCTGGGGGAGACGTACAATCCAGCGTGACGGAACTTGACCGAGGTGGAGAAAGCTGAAAAATGGAAAAGAAAACTGGATAAATAAAAAATTAAACCCCGGCTGGAAACAGTGAGAGAGAAAAAAAATACCTTGTTAAATTAAACCTGGCTGGAAAGGATGAGAAAAATCCAGTTTGGGTCACCACATTACCCAAAAAAAGTTTTTAGAAGTTTTTAGAAGATTTGTTTGAAGTGGTTTAAGGTCCCCTGCTTGAGCAGGGGGCTGGACTAAATGACCTCCAAGGTCCCTTCCAGCTCTAAACTGTTCCATTTCTTTTTTCTTTTCTTTTTTTTTAAAGCGTCTCTGCTCGTGAGTCGAAGCCAACCTGTGTTTTTCGGCCACTCACCACGTGGACGATGTCGACTGAGAAAATCTGGATGCAACACATGATGGCGGACAGGGTGCAAACTACAATGGAGAAGATGGTTAAGCCGCAGATACTGAACAGCAGGTCCTACGAGAGAGCAAGGGGGAAATTGTCAGAAGGGAGTAACGGAGGAAAGGAAAGGGCGAGGAAGCGCATTTTAGCTACTCTTAAGTTCTGGAGAAATTCCAAAACAAGGGTAATAACGACAGCCAAATATCTGGAACGTTGCTTGAAAAACTGTCGGCATTGACAAAATCAGTCAATTGCAAAAGGCAGCTTAAATCCTACGGGACCTCTCGCCCCCCTCAAACATTCACACCTGCCTTATCCCAGGTCCTCGGGAAGGATAAGTGGATAAAAACAAGGAATCCAGTCTAAACATTCTGGCTGGCTGTGTGACAGACCCAAATAATAGCCATCGAAGGCTCTTGGCATTGACAAAATCCCCGTCGGTCAATTGCAAAAGGCAGTTTAAATCCTACGAGACCTCTCGCCCCCTCAAACATTCACACCTGCCTTATCCCAGGTCCTTGGGAAGGATAAGTGGATAAAAACAATGAATCCAGTCTAAACATTCTGGCTGGCTGTGTGACAGACCCAAATAATAGCCATCGAAGGCTCTCGGCACTGACAAAATCCCCGTCGGTCAATTGCAAAAGGCCGTTTGACTTGGAAAAGCTTCAATCCTGCCACGAGACTTTTAACACCGTCAAACAACCACATCTGTCTATCCCCAGGTACTTTGGAAGGACTTGAAAGGGGGGACAAAAAAGGCCAAATCCAATTTAAACATCTGGCTGTATGAGGAACCATAAGAACGGCATTGACAAAAAATCCCCGTCGGTCAATTGCAAAACAGCAGCTTGACTTGGGGCAGCTGACATCCTGCAACAGTAGTTTGAATGTTATTAAACAACCACATCGGTCGATCCCAAATCCTTGGGAATCATAGGAAATCTTAAACGAGGTTCCGTTTGCCTGTCCCAGCGAATTCTGTCCATTTCGCCAGCTATTCCCCCACCCCCACCCCCACCCCGGTGGACAGTGCGAAATCTTCTCCTGCCCACTCACTTTCAGAACCAGAAGAATCCTGGAACAATTCGAATCCACTTCAGCTTTATTGCCGCAGGCAGGAATCCCCGATTCGGACGGCAAGTAGATGCATTTCTTATACGGAAAACCAGCCTGCAAATGAACAGAGAGACCATTGCATCTTAAAAGCATGCTGGCTGGGGGATTCTGGGAGTTTTTAGAGCATTCTCTGGATGGTGTCAGGAGTGGGACACACACTTTTTCCAGCCCTCTGGATGGTGTCAGGAGTGGGACATACACTTTTTCCAGCCCTCTGGATGGTGTCAGGAGTGGGATACACACTTTTTCCAGCCCTCTGGATGGTGTCAGGAATGGGACACACTTTTTCCAGCCCTCTAGATTGTGTCAGGAGTGGGATGCACACTCTTCCCTGCCCTGTCTCCAAGGTAGCAGGCTGAGAAAGGCTGAAATAAACTCCTGTTTCCCCCTGGCCCCAAAACTCGCTCCTCCAGCTGTGATTTCTACACCCCCCCTCCTCATCACCGACCTGTTGCAGCCCCACCTGGGCTTTCAGGCTGCGTCGCCATCCCACCTCCTTCGGGATGGAAGATCCATCGCGCTGCCTTATCTGCTCGCAGACCTCCAGGGATTTCACCTGCTGGGCGTGCTGGCAGGACAGAATAGAGCCGGCCAGGGTCAGCATCACTCCTAAGACGGACAGCAGGGTGAAGAAGGTGATCTGGGGAGGAAGGGAGAGCGGAGAACAGGCAGTTCAGGGTGCAGAAGGCTGACAGAAATGCTCAAAAATATCCGGGGGAGGAAAAATCCTAGACTTTTTTTTTATCTTGAAAATTTTTAAGTTTTCACTGATCAAATGATATCAAATCTCTATTACACTATTCTCTCTCTCTCTCTCTCTCTCTCTCTCTCTCTCTCTCTCTCTCTCT